GTGGGCGTGCGCTGCCCGGGCAAACCCCCGCCAACCTCTGACCGAAAGCCACAGGCCTGCGCGAAGCTTTGCCTTGGCCCAGCCCCGTGAGGACGGTGTCGGGAGTCCCGGCGACTGCCCTGATCGTCTCGGCCCCCGTTCCCCTCCCCGGCAGGTCCGTCTTCAAGCCCTTCGTCTTCGTGGCCAGTGTGACCCCGGTCCCGCAGGCGATGTCTCCGGGCTTCGGCGACGAGGACCCCGTCCGGAAGGTCCCTCGCTTCCAGCGCAGGGTTGATCGGAGGCACCAGCTCTACCGGGCGCACCAGGCCGCACTGCAGCTCCTGGAGACTGACCAGGTAACAGAGTGTCCCGTGGCCAGTGTGACCCCGGTCCCGCAGGCGATGTCTCCGGGCTTCGGCGACGAGGACCCCGTCCGGAAGGTCCCTCGCTTCCAGCGCAGGGTTGATCGGAGGCACCAGCTCTACCGGGCGCACCAGGCCGCACTGCAGCTCCTGGAGACTGACCAGGTAACAGAGTGTCCTGGGGCTCTGCTTCCCTCTCAGATGCAGAGCGAGGCTGGGGGCACTGCACCGGCCCTGGGCTGCCCAGCTGCCTGCGGTGCAGCGGGCAGGTTGGCGCTGGGCTGTCTGAGATCGGTGGGGGAGGGAGTGAAGGGAGCCAGATCCTGGACTCCCTGCTCCACACCGTCCCCATGAGCGGCAGCTTGGGCTGAACCTGTCTCTTCTCCGCGGACCCGCTCCACAGGAGCAGGGCCAGACGCTCCAGCAGACCATGCGGGAGCTGGAGAGGCAGGGCCTGGAGGCCATGAAGGACGTGCTGGCCGGCAGGATCCCCCTGAACCCGGAGGAACTGGCTGATCTCTTCTTGGACTGTGTGGAAACTGAAATCAAATGCTACAAATAATCCCCAGGCAGGTGGGTTTGCGGGTGGGTCCGGGAAGAAAGATGCCGCAGAGTTCATGCATTGGGGGCTGCACCCCTCTGCCGTTAGGGGCACCCCCCGATTTTGCCCGGTGCACCCGGACTGCGGGTTCGTTTGGGGGTAGTGTTTGCTCTGGTCTCGTCTCCCTGCAACACTGGCTGCTCCCTATGCTCAGTCACACCCCTGTCCAAGGCAGGACCAGAGCAAGGGCTCCTGGGAACCAGTGGCATTGCCCCGTGGCCCAGTATCTCACCGTGGTCTAATACCTGTGCGTAAGGGGAGTGGCTTGTGCCACAGCTCTCTGTGGGGTTGGGGGGATTGCAGGGGGTCTCCTCTTGGGAACCCGAAAGCGCCTTCATGCTCGACACAGAAATGTGGCCCACAGAGACCCCTGGGCCCACGGTGCAGCGTCACGGGCTGCGCGTAGCCGGGCGGAGCGTTGCATTGTGGGGCGTGTGGTCGGCTGGGGCTGCGCCGTCACACAGAGGACAGCGTGGCTGAGCCATGGCCCTCCCCTTGGTTTGTTTCAGAGCCCTGCCCAACCCGAAAGCGCCTTCATGCTCGACACAGAAATGTGGCCCACAGAGACCCCTGGGCCCACGGTGCAGCGTCACGGGCTGCGCGTAGCCGGGCGGAGCGTTGCATTGTGGGGCGTGTGGTCGGCTGGGGCTGCGCCGTCACACAGAGGACAGCGTGGCTGAGCCATGGCCCTCCCCTTGGTTTGTTTCAGAGCCCTGCCCGCCCTCCCCCGGCTGGGTGGGGTCTGTTCTCTGCTGCCCCCCTCACTTCCTTCCAGCCGGATCGCTGCGCCGGCAGGGCGCCTTCTCCGGACCCTCCGCCTGGCATTTCTCAGCCGGCAGCTGGGAATCGTCCTGCCACGCCTTGCCTTGCACTAGCTGTCACTCCCAGTAAGAATCCGGAGGCTTTAGCAGCTTGAACAGGCCGGCGGTTCTAGGCCCGGCTATGGGGCTGGGAGGGGGAGAGCCGTAGCTAGTGAGAGGGAGCTGCGCCGGCAGGGCGCCTTCTCCGGACCCTCCGCCTGGCATTTCTCAGCCGGCAGCTGGGAATCGTCCTGCCACGCCTTGCCTTGCACTAGCTGTCACTCCCAGTAAGAATCCGGAGGCTTTAGCAGCTTGAACAGGCCGGCGGTTCTAGGCCCGGCTATGGGGCTGGGAGGGGGAGAGCCGTAGCTAGTGAGAGGGAGCTGAATTTGGTGGCTGGGTTACCAGTGCTCCCCTGGCTCCTTCCTAAGAGGAAACACGGCCTAGTGGTTAGAGCACGGGACATCTGGGTTCTCTTCCCAACTCGGCCTCACCGAGGGACCTCGTTTGGGTCACCTGTCCCTTCTGTAGCAGGGGGAGGAGCCCCACCGGCCCGCCCTGCGTGGAACCGTGATGCGGCGCAGGGCTAGCCCCGCCCCACCAGGGCAGCAGGACGGAAGGTCCCAGGCAGATGGGCCAAGGTGGAATAAAGAGGTTTTACATTTCAGTCACACTCCACTGTGCTCTCTCCGCGGGGCCGGCCCGGTCGGTCCCACGTGCCTTTACAGCGTTTCTTTGCTGCTCTGGCTGCAGGTTTAGCACCAGCGGGCGCCTCCCCTTTCAGGGCCTTGAGGGGGGCGCCGCGCCCACCCGCGCGTGAGGTGCCAGGCCGCGGGGAGCCTACGGCCTTCGGCAGAGAAAGCAGCCGAGATCCGGACTTGGGTTTGGGGTGCGGCTCACGCAGCCTAGGGGCTGGCGATCTCCCTCCTGCGGCTCCCTCCCCCGCTGGGCGGGGGGGCCGGGGGCCCTCCCCGC